CCCCGCCTGAGACATCCCGAGACACAAAATGGCCGCCTGAGACATCCCCACAAAATGGCCGCGAACGAGCCCGTGCAACCACCCCTGGCGGCTCCCCTTAGGGGTGCTGAGTATGAGTAAGTCTGTGTATGAGTAAGTCTGTGTATGTGTACGTCTGGGTATGACTAATACTGTGTATGAGTAAGTCTGTGTATGAGTAAGTCTGTATATGAGTATGTCTGAGTGTGAGTAAGTCTGAGTATGAGTAGGTCTGAGTATGAGTAAGTCTGAGTATGAGTAAGTCTGTGTATGAGCAAGTCTGAGTATGTCCGACAGGAGGGGAGGAGAAAAGAGGAGGAGGAAGGAGAAGGAGTAGGAGGCGTCCAAGTAATAACAAGAACCCCATCTTAGGATATGGGGAATAAAGGGTTCCGTGGCCCAGGGGGGCTACCCTGGGGCCCAGGGGGGCTACCCTGGGAAGCGTGGACAGGGGGGGGGGGCGAGGGGGACGAACGACACGACGAACGACGAAAATAAAGATGTCCGAGCTCTAGAGCACAGCTGTGCAAGAGAATAAACCTCTGCGAGTATGTGTGTGCCCTCTCTCTCCCCCTCCCTCTTCTCTTCCCTCCGCCGTGCCATCCCTGGGCCCTCGCCAGCCGACCCCGCGTGCTGCCACAGAGGCCCCTGCCCCATCCCCCATCCCCGCACCGCGTCGGCCGCGCGCTGAGATGAGTTACGGCTCCGTGGACCTGGCGAACAGGCTGCAAGTCCACGGATCAACTATACTTATGTATATATATATATATCTATATAGATATGTGTATATACATACACACATTTTTCCGTGGGGGGTATCAGCCGACCAATTATGACGAGCCACCTCCGAATACCGCTGCGCCCCCCTCGCGGCTATGTCCGAGGCTCCGAGTGCGGCGCAGGGCACTCCCTGGGGGGGCTGCTCCTGCAGGCATAGTTGCTGCAGCCGCGAAGCGCGGTGGCACAGGTACGAGCTCCGGGGCCCGACAACGGACCCTCCTCCTCCCCTCCTCCTCCTCCTCCTCCTCCTCCTCCTCCTCCTCCTTCTCCTCCTCCACCTCCTTCTCCTTCTCCTCCTCCTCCTCCTCCTCCTCCGGCTCCTCCTTTTCCTCCTGTTCCTCCTTTCCCTCCTCCTCCTCCTCCTCCTCCTCCTCCTCCTCCTCCTCCTCCTTCGGCTTCGCACAACTCACCCTCGCATGTGTGGTGGGGTGCCGACCTCGCCTCAGCCTCGAAAGTGCGTCAGCTCCTCCGCGGGGCTGCTCGGGTAAACATCCGTCGCCAACTGATGTGTGCATCCTCTCTCGAGTGCAACCCCCCTGCATCCTCTCTCGAGTGCTATGGGGTTCACTTCGCTCGGGAGCTCCCGAGCGAAGTGAACCCCACCCTCCCCCTCAGAAATCGTGGGGAGTAGGGGTAGGGTTCGCATGTGGCCCCCTAAACTCCTCCTTACCCATATACGGGATCCCTGCGCCGGAGGCCGATGCCGCCTGATCTGGCGACGGAAGCGGGAACGTTCCGATTCTGTACGGAAGCGGGACACGTCGCCAATCCTTTGTGTCAATCCGTATCTGCGCTTCCTTGACCGTGCCCTGTCTCCTTGTACCCTCCCTCCCTCGCTCTCTCCCAGTCTCCATCCCATGAGGGTCAACGGTAGGGGGGGAACATGGGGGAACCATCGAGTTTCGATCCGTGATAGGCCCTCCATAGCAAATCCGCACGCTCCTGGGATGAGTGGGGACATCGGGCCGCTATCGGTGATAAAGGGTGATTGGGGCTCGATGCGTCCCCCTCCCACCCCGACCTATCGTCCCCTCCTCGCGTTGCCACCGGACCCTCTTCTCTCTTCCTTCCTCCGTGCCGTCCTTGCAGGCCCGCGCCCCCGCAGCCCCTCTCCCCCATCCCAGACGTCCGCCGGTGCGTGCCCGTCCATGCGCGACCCCTGGCGCCTCCTCCTCCTCCTCCTCCTCCTCCTCCTCCTCCTCCTCCTCCTCCTCCTCTCCGCGGCATGCCCGTGGCCCCGGCGCCCGTCTGCGGTGGCCCCAGGGCCCGAGAGCGGCCCCAGGTGCGCCCACGGCGGCGGAGAGCGCCAGGCCGCACAGAGATCGGGACCTTGCCGTCGCTCGGGCGTCCGTGTCCCGCGCTCTTTGTCGGTTTCGTGCGTGTGTTTTCTTTTGTTGGTTGCTCTATGGTCCAGGATGGTCCTCGATGGTCCTCGCCGAGGAGAGAAAAAAAGCACACGTCCGAGCGATGCCAGGGAATCGGCCGAGATCAGGGCAGGGGCCCCCGTCAGCTTAGGGTGCTCGTTCTGGGGACCTCAGCCGCTCGCTCCGCTCGCTTCGATCGAAGCTGCGCCGAAGCTGCGCCGACGGAGGTCGAGCCCGAGTCGAACCTGCGCCGAAGCTGAGTCGAGCCTGAGTCGCACCCGTTAGAGGAAAGATAATTACCAGGAAGCCGAAATCAATGAAGGCTGAAATCAAAATGAAGACAATGATCGGAGACTGGGTAAAATGGAAATCTGGGCGGGCCAGCGACAAAAACAATACACTCTGGCCAGGATCGGTGCATACGCCTATTCTGGCCAGAGTGTATTGTGGCCAGGATCGGTGCATACGCTCTCCTACCTTGGCTAGGAAGGTATATGCACCGATCCTGGGTGAAGGGTGGGCCTTGTCAGGATCGGTGCACGTGCATAGTTCTCTTCGCCCGACCTGTGTCAAACCGGAGTCGGCACGGGGTCGAACTGGGGTCGAAGAGGGTCGGACAGGTCCATGATCGGGCGTTGGCAGAACTGGGTTCAGTGGGACCTGGTTAGATGATGTGTACTGGGGTGCGCCCCCCCCGCCCCGTTCCACTCAACGGAACGGGCGCCACCTGAAGAAACACCAGCTGCGGCAGACCTGGTTTGGTGACTCTGGCCAATTTGGGGGCTCCTGGGCCCTACCACCAACCGGGTCCCCTTACCTGGGGCCTTTGCTAGGCCCAACATGAGAGGTGGGCCCCGGGAAGTAGGGGAACGAAGAATGACATCAACATAAAAACTCGGAGGCCCGCGCGGATCCGAGAACTCCGCGCGGACCTCCGGGTTTTTGTGTTCCTGTCATCCTCCGTTCCCCTGGGAAGGTCCCCCGAACGAGCACCCGAGCCAGCCGCCCCCGCGCCCACGCCTCCTCTAGAGGCCTCCTAGATGGGGTCGGAGTAGATGGGGTCGGAGGATCGCGCCGCATCGTTGATACATCGACGATACATCGTCGATGCATCGGCGATGCACCGCCGATGCATCGTCGACGTTGTCGACGCATCGGCGACGTCGACGTGACGCAAATCGGGCTGCACATCGAGCCGCATCGGCGATGCATCGGCGATGCGGCGCGATCCTCCGACCCCATATGCTCCGACCCCATCTGGGAGGCCTAGATCCTCGCGAGGCGCCCCGTCGAGCGGTCCACCTCCCGCTCTCTCTCCCACCAAGGGTGGGCTCCTTGCGCCGCCACGCCAGGCGGTCGGCCACCTCTCGCCGGGGCCGGGCAGGCTCGCCGCGAGGCGGCCCCCGCGGGGGGGCGCGCGAAGGGCAGCGTTAAAAGTCGGGCGCTTCCCCCCCCACACACAGGGGGCTTTTATAGGGAGCTTTTCGACGAAGAAATAAAACAGACTCCAAAGGAACTCCAAAGATGCCCAAAAGTAATCAAAACATAGTCCCGGATTGTTTTCCTTCACTGTTGTCAAATCGTCCCCCTGCAGAAGGACAGGCCCGACTTAAGGGCAGAGGCGAGGGGAGCGGAGGACGAGAGAGAGAGAGAGAGCGCGAAGCCCAGGTCTCCAGCGATGTGATGCCTTCAATCCCCGCCGATCCTCCTGGCCTTTCGCGTCCTCGCTCCTCCTCCTCCTCCTCCTCCTCCGCCTCCTCCGCCCCCCCCCCAGCTCGCCTCCTGGCAACATTTCGAGGACGTGGCCACGAAAGTGCCCCACCAGGCGCAAACAGGCCCCCGTGTCCGTCTTCGGTCCCAGGGACCACCAAACATTGATCCGAGACGAAGAACTTGCCTCGGGCAAGCTGTCGGAACCTCCTCGGGGCCTCGGATGGAAAGAGAATATGTCGGCGGATGTCCGGGAATAGGGATGAGTCCATAGGAAACGTGAAATAGGAGCCAAGGTCGACTGGACTGGACGGGACTGGACCAGCTGCTCGTCGGACAATCAATTAGCCCAACTCTGACTTCAATGAGCCCCGTGACCTATGAGGAGGGCAAAAGGACAATGCGGGACCTGGGGAGGACGGACCTGAGGTGGAGGGAGGAAGGGGGGAGGGTAGGAGGGACGAGTGACGAGTGGAGCACGCTCGCTGAAGAGATACACATGTGTGTATGAATATATATACAGAGAGAGAGAGAAACAGAGAGAGAGAGAGAGAGAGAGAGAGAGAGATGGAGAGAGACCCAGACATGCGACGTCCTGATTGTTTCATTACGCTTAAGTCGGGCGCGTCCCGCTACAGGGGGATTTTGAACGAAAAAACACTTCTCAAAAAATACGAAGAAGATATCCCAAAACACTCAAACAATAGTCCCCATACCATTGTCTTGCTCTTTTTGCATATTCCCCCCGCAGAGGGACAGGCCGACTTACCATCACGCGGTCCCCGGAAGACCCGACCCTTGCCCCAGAACTGACTTCTCAGCTCGAGCCGATCCTGCACGGCCTCCGGGGCCCGGCGAGGGCCCCCAGAGGCCGAGATGGCCACAGAGACCTCGGGTCGTTACGCCTGTCTGCTGCACGACGCGCCCATGCCTGGGGACAGACGGACAGACAGACAGCCAGCCAGACAGACTGTCGGGTCCCGGGGCCGCCACGGCATCGGCGTCGTCAATTTCGTGGTCGTCGTCGTCGTCGGCGTCGGCAGCGCTGTCGTCGTCGTCGTCGTCGTCGTCGTCGTCGTCGTCGTCGTCGTCGTCGTCGTCGTCGTCGGCGGCGTCATCGTCGTCGTCGTTGTCGGCTCGGCCGCCGCTCCAGCGGAGGGGCCGCCCGCCAGCGTCCGCGAGCGCCTGGGGCTCACTGTGACTGCAGGGCCAGGGCCCCCGGGCGTGCATGTCGAAGGCGCCCTGGTCCTTGCCCCGGCCCTTGCCCGTGCCCTCGCGCGCCTCGCCGGCGGCGAGAGAGGCTCTCTCGCACCCTCGGGGACCTTGTCTAGGGGAACGAACAATGACATAAACATTCAAACTCGGAGGTCCGCGCGGATTTCTCGGATGCGCGCTGGACCCCCCTGGCGGCGCCTCCGGCGCCGCCCCTGGCGCGCTCCGCGCGCCACGGAGGGGCGTCCAGCGCCGATCCGAGCAATCCGCGCGGACCTCCGAGTTTTTATGTTTGTGTCAAGTTTCGTTCCCCTATTGTCTGTCCTTGCTGGGCTCGTCGAATCCGTGCCGAATCCGAGTCGAATCCACGCGAGATGCGCGTCGAGTCCGCATCGATCCCGCGTCGGGCACATGAAAAGACACAAACGTTGGGGACAGGCGGGGTCCCCCAAAGATGCAACCTGAGCGAGGGGGGGAAGTGAGAAGGAGAAGGCATCCTCAAAAGGAGGCGGGGCTTCTCAGGAGGCCTCTGGCCTTCCGAAAGGTTGCCGGCGTCTTCGGGGAAGGCTCTCAGCAGGCCGCGAGGCTCCCGAAACTTCTGAGATGGCCCGCCCCTCCTCACTTCCCCTTCAGGCTCGCCGCCGAGCCTCGTCGGTCAGCATCGGTGGCGACCCTGGCTCGTCCAGCGCCGCCGTGCACCGACCCCACAGGATGATGGAGATGCGGCCTTTGCCGTCCTGCTCGTCCCGCGGCAGGGCGTTGATGCCGTGCTGCCAGACGATGTTGGCGTCCTGGCCGAAGAAGAACAGCATGCCGTTCTTCTGCGGGAAGTACACCAGCTCCCCGGTCCTCTCGGGCGTGCCCTTAGATCCGACGCAGCGAAAAAACACACACAGGGAGAAGTCACGCCTGGAGCCCCATACCCCATCTGTCTGCTGCGCGATTTTTCCAGCCAGATGGACCTGTGAGGGTCCCAGGGCCCGACAGCGGGCGAAGACGTCCCCCTGGGCGGCGCCTCCGGGCGCCAGCCCTGGCGCGCTCCGCGCGCCAGGTAGGTGGGGTCCAGCGCCGACCCTAGAAACCCGCGCGGGAGTCCACGTCTTCATGCTTATGTCTTTGTCTGTTCTTGAGCAGGGACCGACCGTCCTGGCATTCATATAGTCATACCACGACATGTTCTTAGAACCCCAAAATGTTCTAAGAACAAAAACAATGCTCTTAGAACATAAGACCGGTGTGTTAAAACAAGACAGTCCCGGCCAGAAATGTTCTAAGAGCATTTCGTGAATTCAACATGAGGTGCTTAGAACATTGTTTGGTAGGGCTATAGGCGAGCCAGGACGCTTCGCCACGGCTTGATGCTCCCCTACAGTCGGGCTGCTGAAAGAAGGAACGAGAAACAAGGAACGAGGCCCCTTTTTGGCCCCACAAGCGCCTGCGTGCACGAGGGAGGCTAGAGAAAAAGCCGTAGAAGAACCTAAGGAACATCGGGCCCCTTTCTTACCCAAACTGTTCCTTATTCCAGCGACTTGGTTGTACGCCGTGAAACAAATTGCAACGTTTGGATCTCAGGGCGGACAACCCTCCCCTGCAGCACAATGCTGCCTGCCAGCGGCGAGGCCGGGCGCACGAGACGCGCGCGGGCAGCCGGTGCGGGCCGCGCCGGGGCGCTGGGCACACGAGTACGACTGCAGTGGGGGGGCCCTACCACGAGAAGCATCCCACAGGAAACCCAACCCTGAGACCCCAGGATGTCCATCGGCTTACGGCGCGGGAATGTCACGCCTTCCACGGCAAAGCCACCGAGGCCCAGGAAACCCAGGGCACCCTGGAGGCAAGCAGGGCGTCTCGCGGCATGGGCCTCCTCTGCAGGGGGGGAGCTGGAAGTGGACTGGGCCTCCACCCGCCCCCTGTGGAGGGGAAGAGGGACAGCCGCTCGACTCCTGAGGCGGGAAGGCGCCAAGAGCCGACTGGGATCTCGGGATCCAGAAAACACCTACCTTCCGACCGGCGTGTAGGGGTTCTGTCAGCTGGGCATCGTTTCACCGACCCCTGTCCTCATGGGCGCGGCCTGGGTCCCACTGCCCCACTTCCCCCCCCAGATGGGGATAATAGCCCGTCTCCTTCGGGTTTCGACGGGTGCATCCCCAACTGGAATACTGAGATGAGGGGGGTCTGGATAGGGATGGGGATGGGGATAGGGGTCGGTTCCACGATACTGATCAACCGCCGATCCTCGCGTGCCTGAAAGCGAGCTCGCGGGAGGCCCCGAAGGAGAGGCCCACTGTGCAGTTCTGGTCCCTGGCGCGGGAGGCGTTGAACGCCGCCGAGTCGTGGTGGAAAGGCTTCCAGTCTGAGCCATCGCGGTACCAATTGAAGCGGGTGCCACGCTTCCCGGGGGCTGATTGGCGGCGCGCGCAGCGGAGTGGCACGAAGGGGGCGGGCCTTTCTAAGAGAAGCGGCGAGCCTTCTCGGAGGACGTGCGCGTTCTCAGGAGGGCCCCAAGCCTTCCGAGATGGCTTCTTGGAGCCCACCGGGCCCCTCTGTGGAGGCCAAGCGCTTCCGCGATTGGCAGCCGCCCGTGTCGCCACCCATCCCACTGTGCGCGCCGCCAAGCTATGTGGAAATACTCGCACATGCGGTCCTTGGCACGGAGGAAACGGGTCCCGAGGATGAAGGGGCCCTGACACACACACACACACACACAAAGAAAAATAGACACAAGTGACAAGGTTGCCCATGGTTCCCCGTAGCTTCTGGGTTTCTCTTCCCCCCCACTGCCCATGTTTCCCCATCTTCTCTGGGGGATCGACGATTCATGTTGTCCCTGTGTTTTTCCCTCCTGATTCATCCTGGAAATACAATCGGCGCGTTGGCCTAAGGAACCCTAAATAAGGAACGGGGCCCCTTTCTCCCATAAATTGAACTTCGATTGTCCATGGAAAACCTCAGGAAAACCCGAGGACCATTGTAAAACAACTAAGGAACACGGAGCCCCTCCCGAACGAAAAGGGTTCCTTCTTCAGGGCCCCGACTGTACTTGACAGCTCAGGGGCACGGGGAGGGCTCCCAGAGCGGCATTGGACCTTTCCTCCGCCAGTGGACCTGCTTCACCGACGGGGGAGGCTATCCCAAGGCGTCGCCGGACCCTGAAAAAAGCAGCCGCTCCGCGGCAACTCATGGGAGCCTCCCGTACCATCTTGTCAGCTCTTGCGAATCGACGCTAGTCCACGCTAAATCGACGCTAATTGACGCTACATCGACGCTAATCGACGTTAAGCGACGCTAAATCGGCGCAATCTCATCGACTCCCAGACGCTAATCGACGCTGGTCGACGCTAAAAACGGAACTAGGAGGGCATGTCAGGCTCCCATGATTCACTTCCGAACAAGCCATCGCCAGACCCTAGGAAACCCATCTCTTCGCGGCCTGCTCCACCGACAGGGTGAAGCTATCCCGGGTCGGGCGAAAGGGGGGGATAGCAAAGGGGGGGATTGTGAATCAGCTCACGTAGCTGATTTTCTCGGCGCCTCCTGGCGCCGGAGGCGGCCATGTATCGAGGAATGGGCCCCTCGGTGGGGCTGAAACCAGCTGCATGCAGCAAATTTCGTATCCCCCCCTTTCCCAATCCCCCCCTTTCGTCCGGGCCGATTATCCCAAGCCATCGCCGGACCCTCACAAACAGCAGTCCCTCCGCGGCGAGGTCCAGCACGCGCTGGTACGTGGCCGAGACGGCCGGGTTCTGGCTCAGCAGGTGCGCGCCCTCGTGCCACGGAAGCCACTCGGCCCTGCGGGCCCCGGCCGCCTGTCGGCGGCGAGCGAGAGGGGGGAAGTGAGAAGGAGGGGGCCTTCACAGAAGGCGGCAAGACTTCGCAGAAGCCCTCGTGCCTTCTGAGAGGCTCTCCTTGTCTTCGGGGAAGGCCAAAACAACTTCTCGGAAGGCAGGGGGACTTCCGAACCTTCTGAGAAGGCGGCCTCCCCCTCCTCACTTCCCCCCCTCGCTCGCCGCCGAGCCTGGCTCTCGCGCATCTCGCGGAGGAGCTGGTAGTCCGCCGCGGCGCCGCAAGGCACCGAAGAAGCCCCAAGGGGCTTCAGTAGGCCTCCAGGAGGCCTCCGCGAGGCTCCCAAAATGCCCCCAAGAGGCCCAAGAGAGACCCCAGGATGCGCCAAGCCATCCCCCCTCAGGCTTCAGAACTGCCTTAAGGAGAGGCCTCAAAGAGATCCCTCACGAACATCCACGAGTCCTCAGACCCACAACCCGGGCCAGGTGGCGGGACGGGCCGAAGGCCGGCGGCAGGCGATCAACACCTTGTCCATGCCCGCGCTCATGCCCCGTACCCCACGAGGGGCCAGATGGGGGGGATGGTGGGCGTTTTCTTCTTCGGCGTTTCGACGTTGGGTGAAGGCTGGGGGGGGAGGGGGAGGAGGAGGAGGAGGAGGAGGAGGAGGAGGAGGAGGAGGAGAGGAGGAGGAGGAGGAAGGAGCGGAGGAGGAGAGGAGGAGGACGAGGAGGAGGCGGAGGCGGAGGAGGAGGGAGGAGGAGGAGGAGGAGGAGGGGGGAGGAGGAGGAGATGAGGAGGAGAGGAGGAGAGTGGAGGAGAGAGGGAGGAGGAAGAGAGGAGGAAGAGGAGGAGGGAGGAGGGGGGGGAGGGAGGAGGCGGCGGAGGAGGGGGAGGAGGAGGAGGAGGAGGAGGAGGCGGAGGAGGAGGAGGCGGAGGCGGAGGCGGAGGAGGAGGAGGAGGGGGGGGAGGAGGGGAAGGGGGGGGGGCTCCGGACTTCTGCTTCGCGCGACGGTTTGCGACAGGAACCGCCTGCCCGGACACAGGCACCAACAACACAGCCGAGATCTCATCCACGAGGGTGTTCCTGTTCTTCCTCCTCCGCCTCCTCGCTTCCTCCTCCTCCTCGTCCTCCTCGTTTCCTCCTTCTTCTCCTTCTCGTGTCATACTCCTCCTCCTCCTCCTCCTCCTCCTCCTCCTCCTCCTCCTCCTCCTCCTCCTCTTCCTCCTCCTCCTCCTCGTGTCCTCCTCGTACCCGTCCTCCTCCTCGGAGTCTGTGGGGGGGGGGGGGGGCGAGGGCCCGCGCCGATTGGCAAAACAATGGATAGGGAAACCCTCATATGCGGATGCAAGTCTGGCCTCCGAGACCACGCTGCAAATGTTGTGAGATGTGTGCCCTGCTGCACCTGGCGCCCACTGTGGGGGCAGCAGCCTGGCCATCGCTCGGACGTCCATTCCCTGTGTTTTTGTTGGTTTCGTGCGTGGTTTTTTCGCCGAATGATCAAGGATGCTCCTCGATGGTCCTCGCCGAAGGAAAAATGCACAGTTCCGAGCGATGCCAAGCAGCAGGGGTATGAATCGAGCGTGGATCGCCTGGGCCGGGGCAGTCCGGGGGTCCGGAGGACGTTCGGAGCTGGTTCGAAAACGGCTCGGATCTGTTAAAACACAACTGTGACCTGGTTGCGTTTGTTGGCGACCTTTGCGTTTGTCAGTCGTTGTTGGCGTTTCTGGCGTAACTGAATGACGTCGTTTCAGACGCCGTTGCTTCACCGTTTTCGCTGCCCGGGGTGGCTTCCCAGGTGGTCTCCCCAAGCGCTGGGAGACCACAAAGCCCACCAGCATGGCCGCAACCTCTCGGGGCACAAGCAATGACATTCTCCCTCCCCCCCTCCTCCTCCTCCTCCCCCTCCTCCTCCTCTCCCTCCTCCTCCTCCCTCCTCCGCCTCCTCCTCCTCCTCCTCCTCCTCTCCTCCTCCTCCTCCTCCTACCTCCGCCTCCTCCTCCTCCTCCTCCTCCTCCTCCTCCTCCTCCGTCTCCTCCTCCTCCTCTTCCTCCGCCTCCTCCTCCTCCTCCTCCGCGCTGATTTTTGTCGATCGGCGCGGGGGCTACCTGGTGGCGTCTTCGGCGCCGCCCCTGGCGCGCTCCGCGCGCCAAGGAAAGGGGTTCCAGCGCCGATCCAACAAATGCGCGTGGACCTCCGAGTTGTTATCTTTGTGCTGTTCCTTGCTCGGCGTTTCAGCACAAAGGCGCTTCTAGGAAGGCCCGAGGGGCCGCGGAGATTCGCCGGAGGCGCCTTCGATATACGTCCCAGTCATCCTGAGGGGCAACGTAAGGGTGGTAGTTATTGATGCAGGGAGGGGAAACATCGATCTGGAATCGGCGATCCATCGCCGCTGGATCGGCGACAGGCCCCGATAACGAATCCACGCGCTCCTGGGTGGGGTGAGGGGATCGGGCCCCTACCGGCAACGAGTTGGCGACCGATGCTACCTCCTTTGTGCCCATCCCCTGGTGCGGTTGGTCTTCGAAACGCACATCGGGCACCTGGCGGCCGCTCGAGACGACCTGCCCCCCCCCCCCCCCAACCGGCGCACCCTCGGCGCGCGCAGCCGCCGCAGCACCCCGAGGCTGGACAGATGCCGCCGCAACCGCTGGGACAATTCCCTCCTAACTGGAGTTACCAGCCTCAAACTTATCCCTATCCCTAAGATTGACGCGCCAAAAGGCGATGACAATCTTAGGGATGCGCCCTCAAAAAATTAGGAAATCCCTAAGATTGGCATAGTGATGAGGAGATGCCCAGCACAGGGATAGGGATATGTTCCAGGCTGGCAATGGAGGCCTCCTTGACGGGGTCGGAGTGGAGGGGTCGGAGGAGCTCGCCGCACCGCCGATGCACTGGCGACGTCGGCGATGCATCCGCGACGCCGGCTTGAAGCAAGTCAGGCCCCACATCGAGCCGCATCGCCGATGCATCGCCGACGCATCGGCGATGCGGCGCGATCCTCCGACCCCGCAAACTCCGACCCCATCCGGGAGGCCAGGCAGAAGATCTCGGGCATCCAGGCAGAAGATCTCGGGGATGGGGGTCGCTAGAAGTGCCCCTGGCCCAAGGTGCCCCCAGCTTTTCGCTCTTTGGGGTGCTCACTGAGCCTCCTGAGGGGTGCTCTGAAGGCCGTGGGGGCCTCCTGGGGAATCCTGGGGGCACCTTGGGCCAGGGGCACGTCCGGCAGCACCCGACGTGCACCCTTGCCCCAGCCGTCCTCCGGGCAGAAGAACTCCGGCACGATGATGACGTCGTCGTGCCGCACGGGCCGCCCGTACTGCGGTCCCGCGGGCACCGCGAGGACGCGCAGCGAGGGGCGGGCCGAGCCTTGAGCAGGGACGGACCGTCCCGGCATTTCTATAGTCCTACAACGAAATGTTACTAGAACCTAACAATGTTCTCAAAACAAAAACAAGGTTCTTAGAACATAAGCCCGATGTGTCAAAACACGACAATATCCGCCAGACATGTTCTCAGAACATCTCGTGGGAACCACAAACGGTTCTTAGAACATTGCTTGGTGGGGCTATAGGCGAGCCAGGACGCTTCGCCACTGTGAGCCGCGCCACGGCTCCTCGAGGCAGCCGCCCTGGGCCCTGCTCCCGAGCCTCCGGTCGCTCGGCGCCGGCGCCAGCGCCCCCTCCTGCAGAGGGCAGAGGCAGGCCCCGATCGGTCCACGGCAACGCAGGGGAGCCTCCTCCTCCTCCTCTTCTTTTTCGCGAATCGGCGCTCATCGACGCTACATCGACACTGACTCGACGATTGTCGGCGCGAATCGACAAGAGTCGACGCGGATCGACGCCAAACCAGCAACTGTTGGGAGCACCCCATACCATCTTGCCTGGCTCCTGCGAATGGGGGCGCTCATCGACGCTGAATCAACACCACATCGACAATAGTCGCATCTCATCGTTTACCAGACGCTAGTCGACGCTAATGCAATCTAAATCGGGCAAGATTTGTGTCCAGATCCACTGCAGAATGGAGTTTTGGGCTCCATTCCCAAGAAACCAGAGGCGCACTAGATAGAACAAATGTGGCCTTTCGGGGCTCGATGTTTATCCATGTTCAGTGTGCCTCGGCCTTGCGGCGCCTCTTCCAAGAAAGTCCAAGACGCGCTGGATACTGGTCGGTCGGAAGAAATGGGTAGAAAAATGAAGTAGGAAGGCGTTGGAAGTAGAATTGGTCTTCACCCCCCCCGATGAGGAGAGAAGAGGGAAACCCGCTCGACGCTTGAAGTAGGAAGGAACCTACAGTAGACTGGGATCTGGAAATCCGAAAATACCTACTTTCAACAACTGGCGCATGTGGATGTAATAACTGCCCGCGCTAAAGACGAGATCGCGAGGGCATACAAGGCCCCATGATTTGCGACCGGCGACACGAGCTATACAGTCCGGGCGGGATCTCATCGATGTCAGCCCTCGGCGTGGCCGCGTTCGGACCCTGGGGCCGCCCAATGACGGCCGCGCGGCGAGAAAACTGCCCCCGGGGACGCGGTCGGAGCTCCTCTGGGGCCGCGGATTGGAAGAATCCGCTCGGCGGACGTCCGGGAACGGGTCCTCACATGGAAACGAAGACCCCAGAGTTCCCCGCGGTTCCCGGCCTCTCAGGGCCCTCCTCGCGCTCCTGGACTCGTGGCCGCCGCGCCCCCCCCCCGCCCCATACCCGTGATGTAGGGCCAATGGTCTCCCGTATGCTCAGGCGCATGCTCTCTCGTATGGTCTCCCGTATTGTATTCCGCATCTTCCCATATGGCCTCCCGTATGGCATCCCGTATGGTCTCCTGTATGGTCTCCCGTAACTTTTTCTTCATGGTCTCCAATGTGGTCTCCCGTAGAGGTGGTGGTCTCCAATCATGGTCTCCAATCATGGTCATACCCGGGAGGGAGGGGCATGTGGTCCCAGGGGGCCGCATAATGCGGTGAGGCTCTCGACAACCCCAGGGCGAGCGAGAGACCGTCCGCCCGCGCGTGCACGATCGGCGGATGTCAGGGGACGGCTCGGTGGCAACTCATGGGAGCCTCCCATACTGAAGGGGCCCCAGGACACACAAATAAGCACACACAAATTCCCCTGATTCCCCCCCCACTTCCCCCCACTTCCCCCCCCCCACTTTCCATATTTCCCCCCCACACTTGCCATATTGTCCCATATTTTCATGGGAATCGACGATTAATTGTGTCTGTGTGTTTCTTTTCCGCCTGACATACCATCCTGTCGGCTCCTGCCAATCGACGCTCGTCGACGCCAAGTCGACGCCAAGCCGACGCCAAGCCGACGCTAATCGACGCCAGCCGACGCCAGCCGACGCTAAATCGGCGTTACCTCGTCGACTCCCAGACGCAAATCGACGCGAATCGACGCTGAATTAAGAGGGGAGGTCACGCGACCATGATTTGCAACCGAAGGACGGGGAGGGGCGACGAGGGAGGCCCATGTGGCCCCAGAAGGGGAGGACGGGCGCGGGGGTACAGGTGTGGGTACCTTTTCCTCCTCTGAAGTTCTCCTCACTCCTCCTCCTCCACCCTCCTCCTCCTCCTCCTCCTCCTCCTCCCCCTCCTCCCCTCCTCCTCTCCTCCTCCTCCTCCTCCTCCTCCTCCCTCCTCCTCCCTCCCCCTCCTCTCCCCTCCTCCTCCTCCTCCTCCTCCTCCTCCTCCTCCTCCTCCTCCTCCTCCTCCTCCACCGTCCTCCTCTGAGGACGGGGGGGGGACTGGCTCAAGGGCCTCCGCCGCCAGCGCGGAGTGTCCGAGGACCGTGATCGACAGGTGGCCGTGCGCGCCGCGCTGCGGCGGGCACAGCCTGGAGGGCAAGCAAAAAGGTGCCGATACCGCGCACCGCTGCTTTCGGCGGCAAGCGAGAGGGGGCAGTGAGAAGGATAAGGCCTTTTCAGAAGGCGGCGGGACTTCTCAGAAGCCCTCGCGCCTTCTGAGAAGTGTGATGTGTCTTCGGGGAAGGCTTAGGAAGCTTCTGAGGAGGCCAGGGGACTTCCCAGCCTTCTGATAAGGCCCTCTCCTTCTCACTCCCCCTCCTCGCTAGCCGCCGATACTCCCCGGTCCGCTCCCGTGGTGCCTTTTGGCCGGGATTACTAGAACAAGGAAGCAAGGAAAACCGACACCACCACCACCACCACCACCACCACCACCACCACCACCACCACCAGGGATTGCCAGAGGGAGGAGCCAGGGGGGTCATGCTGGTGTGGTCCCCCTCTCGCACGTGACATCCACTGTCCCCTGCTCGGGCCCCGAGCCTCCCTGGCTCGGGCCCCGAACCTCTCCGAGCCTCGGGGAGGTTCACGATGCCCCCCCGAGCCTCGGGGAGGCATCGTGAACCTTCTCGCTGGAGGTGCCACCCATGGTAGTGGTGGTGTCGCTTCTCTGTCCCCCAAGACTTCGAAGCGCATCCAGCCGCGCAAACGAGGGCCTCCCGGGAGGCCCAAAGAGGCGACAAGCGAGGACAGGGCATCGACTACACGCAAGAGTGGCCCTGGGCAGAAGTGACCTCTGCTGCGCGGGTTCAGGGGAGGCGCGGGGGGAGCAAAACGGCGAGCGTGCAGGCTGCTGCTATCGCACCGTGTGCAGCGATCGGGGGGACCCCGATGGCCCGCACCAAAGGTCACTCCAGCGAAGGGCTACTCTTACATGCAATCGAGGGCAGCGGGATCCGCTCCTAGCAAAAACGGTAGTAAGGATGCGCGAACAGGATGCAATGACCTTGGACGCCCATGCCGAAGCTGTTCGAGCGGCGCTGGCCATCGAAAGTTGCTCAGGAAAGACCAAAGATGGCCGAAGAGATAATGACGCAAGCCCAGACATGCGACGTCATTGTGTTCAACACGCGGTCCCTGGAAATCCCGACCCTCTCCCCGGGACCCTGTCTTCATCCCGAATCGGTGCTTGACGGTCCCGGGGCCCCGTGAGGCCCCACCCCCCGAGGCCGAAACTGGCAGAAAAAATCTCCCGTCGTGACTCTTGCGCGACGCGATCATGTCTGGGAGGGCACCGTTGGGACATCGATCATTCTCACTGTTGAGCAGGGACCGACCGTCCCGGCATTCCTGTAGTCCTACCACGAAATGTAGATTAGAACTAAAAAAGCTCCAAGAACAAACCATGTTCTTAGAACATAAGCCCGATGTGCTAAAACAAGACAGACTCCGCCAGAACTGTTCAAAGAACCTTTCGAGGAAACCACAAAAGGTTCTTAGAGCATTGTTTGGTAGGGCTATAGGCGAGCCAGGACGCTTCGCCACTGCTTGATTCTCACTGCGAGCTGTGACCGCATGTTCCTCCCCTGCGCAGCCGCGGGCCGGCCCTCCAGCGCAGCCACGCGTCCCTGCCCACGAGGCCGAGGCTGCCGTTCGGGCGGTCCAGGAAGACGGTCTCGTCCGAGCCTGAGCGGCAGAAGGCGAGCTCCTGGGCGTCGCCTGACTACCTACCAGACCACCCCAACCCAACCCGAAGACCCGAATTTTACCCGAATTTCGGGTTGGGGGGGGTACGGGTTCCACTTGGTTTTTCAATGTTCCCCGACCCCCCCCCACTGGAGATGGGGGGAAAATTGAAGCCTTCGGGATGGGTTGGGGTCGTTTGGTGGGTGGTGATCGCCGAAGGAGAGGCTGACCGCGCAGTCGCGGCCCTGGGAGGGGCGGGCGGGGTGGAAGCTGCCAGAGCCGTGCACGAAGGGGTCCCCCCCGGGCCCCTGCTCGTGCCAGCGCAGCTGCACGGCACACTCCTCCTCGTCTATGCAGGCGTACCTGCTGGCTTGGCCGGAAAGCGCGTCACGAAAATATAGAATTACACAGGCGCCCTCGAGCGAGTTGTGCAGGTATCTTCAGGGATGGCAGCAGTGTGAAAAATCGCTGGCTCCCAGAGGTCATGTATACACTGCCACCCTCCCCTGAGGCCGAGGAACAATTCATTGCATGGTGTCTGTGCACACATTTTTGTTGGCGGAGGAGGAGACCAGCCGCCCAAGGCAGCGGCCCAGCGAGGGCATCACGAAGGCAGATTTCCTGTCACGACGCGAACCCAGACCCCCGACGTCATGACTTTCTCACGTCGTCGACCCGAAAGGTCTCGACCCCCCCCCCCGGAACCGGCTCTTCATCCTGAGTCGCTTCCTGTCGGTCCTGGGGCCCGGTCAAGGCCCCCAAAGTAAGGCGAAGCAGCCAGGACGAAGACAAAATCGGGTGAGGATAAATCGCGAATCTCTGAGATCCAGCAGCTCTGGAGGATGTCTCGGGCGCCGCGGCCTCCTCCGAGCGTTCCCGAACGCTCTGAGAGCGTTCCGAATCGCTCTGGGAAGGAGTTGTCCTCGTCCTGGCCCCGTCGGACAGAGGCAGACAAGAGCGAAAAGTCTCCCGTCGCGATCCTGTTATGACTCGAGGAGGTCTGGGGAAGGTGTGCCCCCGAAGAGGTGCCACCAGAATTCATGGATCGGTAGGGCTCTCGGACCCGGCCGCGTGGAGGCAGGAGGGGGAACAGACAACTCGCCATCGCTCAGATCCATTCCCTGTGTTTTTTTCGGTTTCGTGCGTGGCGTTTTCGCCAAATGATCGAGGATACTCCTCCATGTTCCTCCCCGAAGGAAAATGTACAAATGCATACGTCCGAGCGATGCCAAGACAAAAGCATAGCTACAAATATACACCAATCTCGAGCGAAATAAATGTGAAAGTAGGGAAGTGGGAGGGAAAACGAAAGTCCAGAAGATGTGAACAAGATAAGGAGACCCCTGGATTTGTCCATGCCCTAGTGGGTCTGGGATCTCAGTGTCCCCACGAAAGCCTAGATCCTCTGCTCCAAGATGAGTTAATCCTGAATAGTTCTTTGACGGCCCCAGGGCCTGGCGAGGGCCCCCAGGAACAGAAAACTCAGCAACACCTCCATCTGGATTTGAGCTGATACGTTGGAGGTCTGGGCGCCGAAGCCCTCGAGGGTGTCTTAGAAGAAAGAGAAACGCCATACACATAAACTTTTGGCGCTCCGCGCGGATTTCTTGGATCCGCGCGGAGCGCCAACAATTTCTGTTCATGGCGTTTCTTCTCCTTCTTCGAGGAAGAGGGGTCTGGGCGCGAAAACCCTCGAGAGAGTCTGGGACCCCCCCATCTACTGGGACCCCGACCCCATCTAGTCGGACCCCATCCGGGAGGCCTAGAGTGTCTGAGCAGAGGTCTGGGCCGCTGTTTCATTCACACCAAGCCCGACCTGCACGCCTTCCGCGCAGCACGGCGGCACGCCGGCGCGCCGGCGAGGCCAGCGAGGCCGGCGTGGCCCGCGCCCGCGACCCCGCCCGCGGAGGCGTCGGCGTCGCGCAGCTGGCGGAGCTCCTCCGCCAACGACAACGACGACGGCGACGACGACGACGACGGCGACGACGACGGCGACGACGACGACGAGGACGATGGCGACGGCGACGACGACGATGACGACGACGACGACGACGACGACGACGACGACGACGACGACGACGACGACGACGACGACGGCGGCGGCGGCGGCGGCGGCGGCGGCGGCGGCGGCGGCGGCGCTCCTCCGCCATCTCCGCGTATGCGCGCAGGTCGTCCTTCCAGAGGGGGGTGGCTCGCATCTCGGGGCAACAAACAATGGCATAAACCAAAACTTTCGGAGGCCTGCGCGGGTACTATTGGATCGGCCATGGATCCGCCTGACGGCGCCTCCAGCGCCGCCCCTGGCGCGCTCCGCGCGACAGGGAGGGGTCCAGCGCCGATGCAAGAAATCCGCGCGGACCCCCGAAATAGTATTTTCGTGACATTAGTTTTTAGGTCGGGCATGTCCTCTTACAGGCGGATATTGGAAACACAAGTGAGAGTAGCCAAAACACAGTACATAGTCAAAACTCGTCAGACATAGTCGAAGAGTCGTCCCCAGACGTTTTGTTGACTGTTTTGGAGCCTTCCTCCTGTAGAGGGACACGCACGACTCTTCAAATCGTACCTCGAGCGCCGTCGGGCCCAGGAGATTCGGCAGCCTCGGGGCGCCTCTCCTCAGCTGCGCCTCGTCGAGGGAACGCTCCGGAGCTTTGCCCGGATCGCCCCGTTAACGGCCGCCCGAGGCTTAAGTCGGGCCTGTCCCCTTCAGGGGGATTTTTCGACCAAAACTAAAACATACCCTCAACATATGCAAAACATAATCCAAAAATAGCCCGCGGGGACTATTTTTGGAGTATGTTTTTACCTGTTTGGGGCATTGTTAGGATTTCTCTTTTTAAGTTTAAGATAGAAAACAACAACAACAACAACAACAACAACAACAACAACAACAAGGAAATATATATATATATATATATATAACGTCGAAAATCCCCTAGGGGGGACAGGCCCGACTTAACCCGAGGCCCGACCTCTCTCTGGCCCGAGCGCCATATCGGTGTGGACCTCCCCGCGCCGTGGAAGCTCTGCGGCCCCAGGCTCCTCGCGGCGTGCGGCCTCCGGGCGCCCGCTTGCCGGGGCCCCGGGGGCTGTCAACGAGCGAGGCAGGACAGCAAGAGAAACGCGTGCCCGAGGCAGCGGTCCGAACCTCCCTCGCGCCGTGGAAGCTCTGCGGCCGAAGGTTCTGGGCGGCGTTCGGCCTCCAGGCGCCCTCTCGCCGGGGCCCCGGGGCTGTCAACGAGCGAGGCAGGACAGCAAAAGAAAACGCGTGCCCGAGGCAGCGGTCCGGACCTCTGGGCTCGGGACGTCGGCTGCACGCAGGAGCAGCACGGGCAAGGAGGGGAGGGGCCCTCCCGCGCGCGGCTTGCAGATCGCCGCGCGCGGCGCGACTCGGTAGCGGCTGCCGCGCCGCTTCGGCTGTTGGCCCCCCCGCGCCCACCGCCGCGCGACCAAAGTTGCCCTTGGCGAGGGCGCGCACTCCTAGTACTTACGTGGCCACCCAGGATGTTCTTTATGTCGACGACACACTACTAGTATCCCAGCACCAATCCAACCTCAAGAACATGTTGAACGCTATCGTTGAGGAGGGGGACAAACATGGCTTGGAGCTTAATTGGGGTAAACAATACGCATGTGATGTGAATCTCAACAAATCACAGCTTACGACATCGAGTGCTGGTGAAATTAAGACTGTCCGTGCCGCTGTATATTTGGGAAGCCTGCTTACATGTGACAGGAGAGCGTCTTCGGGGCGATGCAGAAGATTGGGATAAGCAAGCAAGCTTGCGAAGCAACTTAGCAAGCCTTTGGCGCACGTATCTCTTCCTTGAAGACGAATACACAAGATCTACGACAACGTTGTTCTGAGCAAACTCTCATGTTATTTGGATGCTCTGTGGTTGTTGAAAAAAGACAGATGCCGACTCGATGCCTTCCATTGCTGACGTGTGCGACGCGTTCTTGGAATTCCACACTCTTTCATATCACGGGTCAACAACGCAAGCGTCCTCGACCAGGCTGAGACGAAACCACGAGCGCAAGTTTTGACTAGCAGACACATTCAGTTTTCCGGGAAGATGGTCGCGCATGGGTTTGGAGTCCCGAAACGTTGCGGTGACAGACCGTGCGGTGACCTCGAAACCCCCCAAGACCTCTCACCGCACGGTCTGTCACCGCACGGTCTTGGGACCCCGGAGACCCCTGTCGCCCAAGACGTCCTCGGAGAGCGACCCGAGCCCCAAAACCGTGCGGTGACCCCGAATCCTGGACACCGCACGGTGTGGTCACCACCCCGTTTGGGGTGCCCCCGAATGGGCCTACTAACCACATCGAACTTGTCGGCAGTGGCGAGGGGTCGCCGAAGCCTTGGGCTCGCAAGCGCAGGCGCGCGGGCGACGGAGACAGCAGTGCTCGCTTTCAGTTCAAAATTCGCCACAATTCGGGGAGGAGGAGGAGGATGAGGAGGGGGAGGAGGAGGGGGAATAGGGGGAGGAGGAGGAGGAGGGGGAGGAGGAGGAGGAGGAGGACGAGCGAGCAAATCTTTCCTCGTCGCCTTCATCAACCGCCGTGATCCTCAGGCATGGCGCTTGGCCACACCTCCATTTATGTTGCGCCCATCGTACTCAAAGACCACATCCCAGAAATAATTTCGAGCACCCGGAAAAGTGCCGAAAGAATGTAGAAAAAAGTGTCGAGACAGTGTCGGGCGAGTGTTTCCCAGGGCCCGACACGTGAAAACCCTTGAGTTTCGGTACTTCTTTGGGCGCTCAAAATTCTTCCTGGTGGTCAAGACTAAAGTAGGTTGGAACATCTGAAACGCTTGGCCACACCTCTATGCTTCGTGTGGCGTCTGGTCACACCTCCGTGCTTCGAGCATTTCGAGTGGCGTCTGGTGACGCCTCTCTCCCTGCCAGCGCGTCCACCTGGACGCAGGGCTTCTGTCTAGCCTCAGGTCGGGCATGCCCCCCTACAGGCGGGCTTTGGGCGACAAATTTGAAAAAGTACAGTGAAATACCCCCAGACAACAACATGTTAGAAACAAACCGTCCCCTGACTATTGTTGTACTATGTTTGAATATTCCCCCTGTAGAGGGACAGGCCCGACTTAAGTCTAGCCTTTGGTCGGGCCTGTCCCCCTACAGGGGGATCTTGGACGAAAAATTAAAAGTATTTCAAAATGCTCAATGATACACAGAAATACTAAAAACTAGTCTCCCGACTTTTTTTCTACTATTCCAAATATTCCTCCTGTACAGGGACAGGCCCGACTTGAGTCTAGCCCCAACCGACCTTCCCTCGTCTCTCCTCTCTGTCTGGGGCCTCCCGGAAGGCTCGGACCGCCGCGGCCAGCAACGCCTCGAGTTCCCAGTCTTAGGTCGGGCGCGTCCCCCTACAGGGGGATTTTGGACGACAAATAAGAATATTCAATACATACTCAAAAGATGCACAGAAAGATTCAAAAACTAGTCCCCCTGCTAATTTTTTAACTATTTCTGAAGATTCCCCCTGTACAGGGACAGGCCCGAGTTACGACTCGTGCCGCGACGACACGTGCGCCGGCGCTGTAATGATTAACAAGCACAACTGCCAAACACAACCCACAAACTGAAGAGGACAGGAGGACAGGGTCGAGCGACAGAGGAGGAACTGGAGGGCGTCTCCGCGCGGCTCGTTCCACCTGGAACGATCGCACCTTCCGGCCAGCGCAGCATCCTTCGCCAGCGGCCGCTGCCACGCCGCTGGCGGCCTCTCAACCTCGAACGTCCGCGTTGAGGGGTCGCCGCCGCGTCGCCACGACCCGAACCTGCCGCATATGGAAGAATTTTCAAAACGCCATAAGCATGAACTGCTGGTGCTCCGTGCTGGTTCCTTGGATCTGCGCTGGCCCCCCCCTCCCTGGCGCGCGGAGCGGGCCAGGGGCGGCGCCGACAGCCGCCAGGGGGGCGCAGCGCAGATCCAAGAACTCCGCGCGGAGCGCCAAACTTGCATGTTTGTAGCGTTCGTTCTTCGAGTTATGTTGCTCCCGTCGTACTTAAAGACGACATCCCAGAAATAATTTCAATCGCCCGGAAAAGGTGTCGAAACAGTGTCGGACGAGTGTCTCTCAGGGCCCGACACGTGAAAACCATTGAGTTTCGGTACTTCTTTGAGGGGCTCGAAATTCTTTCTCGTGATGAAGGCTAAAGTAGGTTGGAACATCATAATCTTCGGGTCGAATCTTGCACCCCCCAAGGTCTCGCCTCTGGCCAAACTACTGCGCGGGCTGGGTGGCCCGTGGCGCCAGTGATCCAGGCAGCATCGGCAGCTCCTGCCGCCCGGGGGCCCCGCGCACCGCCGAGGCCGCCACCGACTCCAGAGCGCGCACGTCTCACAGGGCGGCGATGGCTGGGGGCGCAGAGGGCTGCAAGTGCGAGCGCCGAAGAGGGCACGGAAGGAAAATCCTGGCGCGCCCCGGCCACGAATAGCTGCCTCGAAGGGAGCGAAGAGCGCGCCTGGCGTGCCACGAAGAACGTGCCTGGCGTGCCACGAACCCGACGGGCGGCCCGAAGGCCAGAGAGCCTCCGGCGCCCCAGACTGGTCCTCGGTTTGGCCCAGCGGCCGCAGCGGCAGCGGCATCCTCCTTTTGAACCCTCCAGTCCTCGGGCGGGCCGACGAGAGGAGGCTAGCGTTAAGTCGGGCGTGTCCCCCTACAGGGGGATATTCGACGAAAAATAGAAGATACGCAAACAACACTCCAAAATACGAGAAAATAGTCAAAAAATAGTCCCCTGCCTATTTTTTCAATATTTTTGGACACTCCCCCTGTAGAGGGACAGGTCCGACTTAAGGCTAGCGCGTCATGGCCCGAGGAACGTGCGCGGACGACGGGGGCCCTGCGCACGTGCCGAGAGAAGAAGAGCGGGCCCGTGGCATCCCCGCCGTGAGATCCACACGCCCTCGCACCCCTCCCAAGCGCCCCCGGAGTCCTCGTCGCAGGAGAAGCCGGGCACGAGGACAACGTCGTCGGGGCGGAAGCGGGGGGGGAGCCCGAAGAAGGCGCCCGCCCGCCCTTTCAAGAGACGGGCGCGCTCCGCCGCTCGCAAAACATGCCCACTCGCAAGTGTTCAGTAAACTGCTTCAGGGGTTTCTGTAAGCGGGGCAAATGATGCCTGCGTCATTGAGGCCCCCCCCCCCT